GACAAAGATTTGTCCTGACTGTGGGCAAGGCATGAAAACTCTAGCTACATTACATTGTGTTACTGATACTTTGTTTCAGGAGTCTAAATTTTATCTGAGTTCTCCCTGAAGGTTCAACGTGTCTGCAAAAATTAGTTATGAGAGAACTTAAAAAAACCAAGAGGTCTTGTGACTGAGAATTGCTATGGCATTTGATTCCTTCAAAGGACTTCAGATAAGAGGTTTTGGTATTCAGAAATTGACTTGCTAATATGTAAATTGTATAACAATTAAAAAGGCCTTTTTGCAAAGCAATGGTCAGTCAGTTCACCAGAAGCTGACACCCCTGCTGTTTGGCTAAACCTAAAATTCATGCTGGAATGAACCTTCTCCTCTACAGAACCACACAAAACAGAACATTGACAGGCAGGGATCTCTAGAGTCACTGAACTTATGGAATGAATCTCTCTCTCTCTCTCTCTCTCTCTCTCTCTCCTTCCCTCTCTCTGCATATATATGGAATTTATTGGAATGATTTACACGCTACAGTCCAACTAATCAAACAAAAACTATCTGTGAACAGAAAGTCCAAGAATCCAGTAGTTGTTCAGTCCCACAAGGCTAGACGCCTCAGCTGGTCGTCTGTATATGCTAGAATCCCAAAGATGTCGGCTCCAGTGGACTGGAAGTGCTACTAAACTGAGGGCAAGCAAGCAAAGCAAAGGTCAAAACCCTCCTTCTTTCATGTTGTTATACAGGATTCCAGCAGATTAAAGGCGTGTGCTGTGGGATAATGCTTTTGTACATTGGTTTAATAAAATGCTAATTGGCCTGTAGCCAGGCAGGAAATATAGGCAGGGTAAGCAGATGAGAAGATTCTGGGAAGAGGAAGGGCTGAGTCAGGAGTCACCAGCCAGTCACAGAGGAAGGAAGATCTGACAAGACAGAACTGAGAAAAGATGTCATGCCATGTGGCTAAACATAGATAAGAATTATGGGTTGATTTAAGTGTAAGAGCTAGTCAGTAATAAGCCTGAGCTAATGGCCAAGCAGTTATAAATAATATTAAGGCTCTGAGTGATTATTTTATAAGTGGCTGTGGGTCCATGAGGGCCAGGCAAGACCCAAGAAACATTTGTCCTACAAATGGTGCCCAGATGTGGTGGCAAGAATTTCTATCTAAAACCTGAGAGAGCTTAAGAAGAGATTAAAAATGTAGCTAAAAGCACCTTCCTAGTTCATGTTGCTCATAGCAGGCAGGGGTACAGTGATGTGTCCCCTGGCCATAGTGGGTTTGTGGCATGTGGACTTAAGCTATGGCATGGTAGAGTTTTTGCCAAGGTACACAGAGGTGTCTCC